GAGACTTCATTTCTGCCCTTGGGACATTCATGGCCATGAGAGGGAAATGCACATAATCACGTGCTCAGAGGAGGCACTGGCAGTGGGACACTGGTCAGCTTCTCACGGAAGCTGAATGGCTTACGAGTGTCATCACTCTACCTTGTAGGCTGGGCTTTACCTCTTAATGTCTGACTTGGCCTGAACTGGGTGCTCGGCTTTGCTGGCCGAGCTTTTGAAGAATGCAGCACCAGGAGTCTGGAGAGAGATCCCCGAGAGTCACTCTCCAGAGAACTAAAGTTGTAAGTTCTGCAGTTTCACTCAGGAGCTCTGCTGGCCACCACTCCTGGGTGGATTCCTGTCCTTCTACATTGTCCACATTGACTTGATGTGGAGGGCAATGACGTCACAAGAGCTCATGTCACTGCCCATCCAGGACTAGCTCTGCATGCTCACTGATCAAGCATCTAACATTTTCCTTTCCTTGTACTTGAGATAGGTCACCGAGAGTAAGCTGGGCCCCCTTGGTTCAGCCCAACAGCCAAGGCACAAGGAAAGGATGGCTGCAAATGTGTGAATATGCCAAGCAGGCAAACCTGTGAACAACTTAGCCCACCTCCCTCCATTTACACCAGCAAAAACATCAATAATGTCAGAAACGCAGACCTGGTAACTTTCTCAATCACGTGGTTTCCATTGTTCTAACCAGTCATCTCGTCCTTAATTGTACCATCATAGGCCTTTTTGATGATCATTCATAATCATTATTTATTTCTTTTTCATATACAGCATAGGCCTTTTGATGATCATTCATAATCATTATTTACTTCTTTTTCATATACAGCAATTCAAAAGATGTTCCTGTGTACAGTAGTGTCTTATGAGCCTGCTCCTGCGACAGTAGATTGTCACCTGAGAGCTCCAATGGTTACAGTTGTGTCCCTGAATCTGACATTTTCTATGCACGTTTTATTAGTCCCACAGGCTAGCAGACCCTACTGAACATAAATAGAAGCCTACAATGTAGTGAAGAATTGAGGACAAAGCATTTCATCACTGGAAGTGTGGTCACTCTTTGAGAGTAAGGTGTTGTAATTCCTCCTTTTAAAACACTGATATAGATCACAGCAGAAATATTTGAAGAGAACCATTAAAGACATCATCTCTGTACTTTTCGTTTGTACTAACTTTAAAGCAACAACTAAAAGAAAATGAAAGTTGTTGCATCCTCCTTAGATTAGATGAGCATGTGTAGATTTTAACCACAGGGTGGAGCTGTGATGCCACAGTTTGGAAATATTTATAAAACATGACAATAATTTAGTAAGCCACGACTGAAGAGGCTAACTTAATTTTGCAGCTACACACACTAGTCCCAATTACTCAATTCTGCACCGCTGATGCTCAGTAGGAAATACTGAACATTTGTTCAGTGCTGCTTGGACTGTTCCTGAGTTCTGGTCAGTAACAACCACCATGTGACTTGATCCCGTGTGCTCTTCTGAGAGATGCTAGTCTGTCTGGATGTTCACTGAACATTATAAGGGACATTTTTAAAAGTTACTTTAAAAGTGATTATGCCGTTGTGCACAGAGCAGTTTCCTATCTATACAAATCTACAGGGAACCTTCTCCACGCCTTAATTCTAAGTGATAAAGTAGCATCTACTTTAGACTGAGGTTTCAGGATGGCAACCTATCTTTATGGCACGCTATTTGAACTAAAAATTAATGAACTGTTTGATCTTTTTAACCATTATATAGGCAGAAATTCCTATGTTACAAACACTATCAACATTCAAAAATATCTATTTGTCAGTGAAAACAGAACATGCTCATTGGTTTCTTAATATACTACCTGAATAAATATGAGTGTCACAGGTTTGTCAGCAAGAAAACCACCCTCACAGCCGAGTGCAGGGTCTTGTGAGGCAAGAGCCCTTCCCCAGGACTCCAAGCTCAGTCCACAGCTCAGTTTGCATTTTTTTTTGGGGGGGTGCGCATTTTGTTTTGTTTTGTTGGTTTGAGACAGAGTTTCTCTGTGTAGCCTTAGCTGTACTGGAACTCACTGTGTAGACCAGACTGGCCTCAAACTCAGATATCTACCTGCTTCAGTCTCCCCAGTGCTGGATTAAAGGTGTGCATCACCATGTGCAGTTTGTTTGCATTAGGAGAGCATCCTGCCATGTACTTTTCCACTCTCTTCGTCACTTTTTACATCTCTGTTCAAAGCTCAAGTAGTCTATAAATGTACACATCCGCAAAAAGCCTTTATGCATTTCCAGCTAGTTTGTTTCCTCCGATGTCTCTCTCTTACTAGCAGTCCCAAGGTTACACTTGTTTTCTGAAAGGCCACAGGAAAACAGTGCTGACAAGCCTGCATTCATGGTGTCTTAAATAATTTAATTTTCTAAAACATCACCTAATGAAAGGAAGTTATTTTCACAGACTGACTCTCCACTGTGAGCAGCAATTTTAAATTCTAGTCGATTTGTCTGCAACTTAAAGAGGTCCATTGTGCAAACAGGTTCCACACTCCAAATGAACATGTCCAAACAGTGACACCTAAGATACACTCTTCGTTCTTGGCAAACAGGCAAATTAATGAGTGTAGAGCCAGAGAGGGAAGCGGGAATGTGGATCCCTTTTCGAGGAGCCCCACTTCATAAAATTATCAATAAAAGTAAGAGATTTTCAAAGGTAAAGCAGAATGGAATTGAAAGACTAGAGCGGAAGTATCTGTTCTGGTGGACAACATTCATACCGATTTTTCCATGCAGTTAGCAAACGAAAAGTTAGAGGTGTAAATTAATGCAAGTTCTGGTTTCAAACAGGAAAGGAGGGAAGAAAAAAGGAATAAAGAAGAAAACATAAAAATGGGAACGGTACCTTGAAAACCTGACACCTTCACGAGGATATGAAAGCCATCCAGTCACACACCCAGAAGTGTATCCCCGCTTCTAGATGCTTTTACATGGCGAGTTTACAGCAACAAGCCAACAGCAGAAAAGCACAGAATCCATTTATGCTTTCAGGACCTCACACGATTATGTGCTCCCCAGAATATTTTACACACATACAGAGGGAAAGACAGACAGGCAGACAGATAGACAGAAACAGAGACACAGAGAGACGGATCTGTTTTTAATACAACTGGCATACTGGCTGATTTTATGTGTAGTCATCAAAGAGGAAGGAGCCTCAGTTGAAGAAATGTCACCATGAGACCCAGCTCTAAGACATTTTCTCAATTAAGGATCAACTGTGGACACTACTGTAGGTGGTACCTTTGGGCAGGTGGCCTGGGCTCTATAAGAAAGCAGACTGAGCAAGCCAGTAAGCAGCACCCCTCCATGGCTGGTGCATCAATCGCCTCCTGCCTTCAGGATTCTGACCTGTTTGAGTTCCTGTCCTTACTTCCTTCATTGATGGACAGCAATGTGGAACTCTAAGTCAAATAAACTTTTCCTCCCCAACTTGCTTTTTGGTCCTGGGGTTTTGTCTCAGTCATAGAGACCCTAAGACACCTAAGATACTCTAATAGAACACTTCCCCTCAATATGCCTCTCTTCTAGAGATATCTGTCACATTTTGTTATTCCTAAAAGAGAAAGCATTTATCATGCCTCAGAAGTGGCTCCAGAAACTCTCCCCACTGTGTCTCAATAGGCAGTTTTCTCCATCTACCCAACCCTACATTTTTCCATCTTTTAGACTGAATGACCTACTTATGGGAGGTTTACGTGTTTTCTCTCACAACGTATGACTCCAAGATACGCTTTATATTATTTCATAAAAAGGAGATTTAAAAAAAAAAAAACAAAATTTGCTAAACTGGTAGTCTTTATTCAGTTTCTGGAACCATGGCATGATGTTCATTACACTAGGTGACAGCCTATGTACTATAACACAGAGGAGACAATCCTTGGCTTCTGGCGCCTCCCCTGAACAGTGTGACACTGGCTGTCAGCCTAGCATGCAGAAAGAACTCCATTGCTTTACAATTTGGTGCAACTGGATGGCACCGATGCCAGACCAGCTCTACATATTGTGAACACTTTGCCTGGAGAGTAATTAAATTCACAAATCATTACTAAAACATTTTCTCAATCTGGTTGATCCACCTTGAAATGTTGCAGAATGCTTGGTTTACACGGCAAACATGTGTCTCTGTCTAAGGCGCCTTCTGATAGGCTCATAAAGAGCCAAATGGCCAATAGCTAAACAAGAGAGAACAGGTGGGGCCTATGAGCAGAAAGAGAGAAACTGGAAGGAGGAATCTAGGTGCGTGGTTTCATTAGCAGACTCTGAGAAAGTCAGATGTGCCCCACTAAGAAGTAATCTAGCTATGCAACAGAATGCAGATTAAAAAAAATATGTTTTAAGTTATAAGAGCTAGTTGGGAAAAAGCCTAAGCTGAGGTCAAGCTTTCATAATTAATAAGTCTCCACGTCACTGGTGGTGGCGCACACCTTTAATCCCAGCACTCGGGAGGCAGAAGCAGGCAGATCTCTTGAATTCGAGGTCAGCTTGGTCTACAGACTGAGTTCCAGGACAGGCTCTAAACCGTCTGGAGAAACAAAGCAACAACAACACAAGTCTTCATGCCATTATTTGCAGGCTGGCAGGCCAAACACAGTCTAACAAGAAAGCTTGCTACAAAGGAGAGGACAGGAAGGGGACTCAGCTTCCTTCCCAAATCAGTTGCCTGGGATGCCTACAGCTGAAGCACTGTGGACTCATTGCCTGGGACAGAGCCTGGATCATCAGACTCGAAACTACCGCCAGACAAATGTGTATGCTGATTAAACAGTGGCTTTCATTTCCACTCCTACAAAATGAGAAATACCAACTCCCTGGTCACTCCAAGACAGAGATGTACAACTGAATTTAGGTAGTAATTCTGATATAATACTAAACCACCAAGCTAAATGACTACAGCTCTTATATCCAGTCATGCTCTCAGACCATTCTACAATATATTCTCTTCTAAAGAACCATCAATAATACAAAAATCACAATGTGTATTTTAAATTATTTTATTTTTCATCATTTTCTAACACAGAGAGTCAGAAAAATGAATTTTGGCACCGGGAATAAAAAACTTTCTTCAAGTTTAACCTTTAAATTAAAAATAGTAGCTATAATAAGGATATTTAAACCTTTTTCAGAGAAATATTAAAAACTGATATCAAAATTTTTTGCTGTGGAGATTTTTAAAATGTGGGGTAGAAGAAAAGCAATAAAGAGATTAAGGAATGATAAAATAGATTATGGGGAAGTAAGAAAGGCTACCCCCAGGGAAAAAATAACAAAAAGAGCAACTCAGGGTAAAAAGTAAGAAACAAGGCTAAAAACCAGTTTCCTGATATGAAATTCAAGTACTTAAGAAGTTTTTAAAAACACTGTGAAATGTACTACTAATCTCAATGAAACTCTTCTTCTTACTCACTAATTTCTAGAATTAGTGGAGAAAAGAACAGAAGGAAACAAAATTCCCATTTGACATAAGGACACTTGCAGTGAAGTACTGTGCAGAGCAGAAAGGCCCCTGAGAGCTTGCCCTGAGAGCTTGCCCTGGAGGAACACGGGGGTCCACTTTCAAACAGAAAGGAAGACCCGCCTCCCACGCTAAGTCTATTTCCAATGGAGATGCTCCCGTTGGCTGCCTGCACTAGGTTTCTTCAGGAAAATCTTTGTGCAATATTTTCTTTGGGTTTTCATCCTAATTACAAAAAACAAACCTACACAGAGGTCAACATGGCTTAATAATTACATATAAATTCAGTAATCATCAAAATTCCAGGTTTCCAGAACTCCTGATTTTCATATATAAGCATATTCTATACTTCTCCACAATGATAAATAAAATCTCAGGTTTTTCTTAAATAAGAAAACATCACTAGGCTTATTATCACCGAAGCCTTTGTACCTAACCATTTTATTAAAAACTGTCATTATTTTCAGAGACAGTCAAAGATTACAAATAAATACCGACTTTCACTTTTTCCTTTCTTTCTTCGACTTGTGTTTTAAGGCTCAGAGCAGACATTGTGAAACGTCAAACAATTTTATATAAAAAGTTTTCAAATGTATGGCCCAAAGTGAAGTTGTTCTGTTGACATTATTTAATATTCCTCTCATCTTCTCAAGCACAACTTCAAAGACATGCTGATGCCAGTCATCCACCTCAAAGCACGACTGTGCTCGAGTTATGTAAATAACTTAGGGATCTATGAAGGACACCGCAATGTATCTTGTTCCATTTTTAACAGGAAGTCCTTCATGCAGATGGGTAAGCCTCCCAGGATGCATGAAGCTCCAGCCTTTCCGTGGGGATTCAATGGAGCAATTATACCTTAGAAATTTGCATCCACCTCCCTAAAAAGTTAAACACAAATACATCAACTTAATATTTTATGTTTTTAATCAGTAGCAATATTCAAGCTACACCATCTAAATAGCAAATTTCAGCAGAGTCTTCCCCACAAGGCCAGAGTTCCAGGAAATTTTCAATGTTTGTCATAATTACCTGAAAATCCTCTCCTACGTTATTGAGAGCAATGTTGATGGTAAATGTTGAGGCATCATGATGCGGACGGAGTGAACGCTGTCTTTCAGGAGAATACTTTACCACGAAATTCAGCAGTGCAAACCCCTAGGAAAGCAAGCCAGTCGATTTGCTTAGCAATGCAAATGCATGAGTATATTTAGGCGGGAACTGGTAGCGGGTAGGCCAGAGGATCAGGAGGATCAGGACAACTACCTTTGTGTAATAGCCTGCAAAAACTTTCAGCGTAACTGGAGCGATGAACTCACGAATAAAGTGAAGCCAGACATTCTCGAGATCAATTTGCTTCATGTGAATATCATCAGTTGGGACATTTTCATAACCACCAGATATACGGCTATCCTAGAAACAAACATTAATACAACAAGACAATTTATATTGATATTATCTTTCTACTTTTTTCAATCAAGAATCATAATGCACAACAAAGTGAACAGTTGTTTGATTATGGTGTGCCATCTCTTTTAGTGACAAGATCAAGACCGTTTAGACAACAGAGCTCTGCACATGACGTGCATCAGTGGTGAAGTGAGCTTCGGTGAGAAAACACTTTCTACTTACTGACTGTAGATGTGAGTTTCAATATCACTATAAAGTTGATAAAAATGGACTCCCTCAGCCCTCACGTACACACACACACCCTGGAACTAACATTTCATAATCACCCTCAGGACAGATTCCATTGATGTGCTCAAAGGCCCTACAAACCTTGCTTTAATTTGGTGAAACTCAAGTCTTTCAGCAATTATTGGCCAGCACACCACCATCCCTAGACTCAAGAGTTCTTCCTCATATTTGGAAAGCACCTCTTCCTGGTCAGCTACAAAGCTGTGAGCCAAGCTGTGCAAATGCAGTAAGCGTCACAATACCCCCCCAAATTCCACTGTAAAGTTAAGGAACAGGCTGTCTGTTCCTGTGGTTTCTTAAAGAGACACATAGAATCAATGTTGGAATTATTCTTTGCCAAGTTTTACAATGGAATGTAAATACAAAGCAGAATTATAGATTCCACCTTACTATTTTATTTTAATTTTTGTTTTTTCAAGATAGAGTTTCTCTGTAGCTTTGGAGCCTGTCCTGGAACTAGCTCTGGTAGACCAGGTTGTCCTTGAACTCTCAGAGGTCCACCTGCCTCTGCCTCTGCCTCCCTAATGCTGGGATTAAGGGGGGCATGCACCACCACAGCCCGGCTCCACCTTATTATTTTACAAACAGAAGCAAACCCTGTTGACAAGGAATGTTTGTCCTAGCCTTTTCACTACAGTACACGAGGAAAAGGAGCACAGGAGTAAAAAACTGTCCTTAGAAAAGAACAGTGATCAGTGAAGACGTGCAATTCCTAATCAACACCAGTCCCTCATGCCTAACCTGTAATTGCTCTCATAAGTGAGAAAGGAACCCAGGAACAGAGTGATTTAAAACAATTAGCAACCAGTAAAATTAGACTAAAAAGTTTTCTTGATGGCCAATTCATTGATCTCACAGTCTCAGAGACATGTAACAAGAAAGGCACAAGTCCTCTGAACTCTCTGGCTATCTGCCCCACCTCCCATGAGTTCTTCCCGTGAAATCACAACTCACGTGATGCTTTCCCCCAGACCACTTGCCATAATGCTCCATTTCTTCGACCAACTCATCACAGGCTCTTTCAGAAAGTACAGGGAACCAAAAGACATCTGGACAAGGCTGGAAGACAGTGCCACAGGTTAGAAGTCAGGGCAACAGCAGAAACGACTGTAATATACAGAGATTTTTGAAGATCTTCACTGGAAAATCATTTTATCACAGTTTAATTGGCAGTGTTTTTTTTTTCCTCTTGGTGCAATGGTGACATGGACCCGATGAAACAAACCCGAGTGACAGTTCTGAACACTGGAATAGAGCGCATGTTTAACAGGCCATTCTAAGTAAGGACTGTTTAAGAAAGAGAATCCAGTGTTTTCCAAAGATAAGCTTCCGCTGTCTGCCCGCTGTCTATCAATGGTCCCCCAGCTTCTGTGGCTGGAGGGAGTACCAGTGCTCAGCGGCATGTCTGTGTGTTGTCCAAAATTGGGAGCATGAGGGGGAAGGATGAAGGGAGGAAGGAAAGAAGAAGGGGTGAAGGGGAGGTGGGGAGTGAATGAGGGAACTAGAGGGTGGAGATGGGGGAAGGGCAGAGAAGGAGAGGAAGGAAAGAGATACCTTGATTGAGAAAGCCATTACGGGACTAGCAAGAAACCTGGCATTAGGGACACTTCCAGGAATCTACAAGGATGACCCCAGCTAAGACCCTAAGCAATACTGGAGAGAGTGCCTGAACCTGCCTTCCCCCGTAATCAGATTGATTACCTTACTTGTCATCATAGAACCTTCATCCAGTAACTGATGGAAGCAGATGCAGAGATCCACAGCTAAGCACTGGACCGAGCTCCCAGAGTCCAGTCCAACAGAGGAAGGAGCAAAAGGGTCAAGACCATGATGGGATACCCACAGAAACAGCTGACTTGAGCTAATGGGAGTTCAGACTCCAGACTGACAGTGGGGGAACCTACATAGAACCAAAGTAGGCCCTCTGAACGCAGGTGACAGTTGTGTGGCTGGGGCAGTCTATGGGGCCTGGCAGTGGGACCAGGACTTATCCCTAGTGCTTGAACTGCCTTTTTGGAGCCCATTCCCTATGGAGGGATACCTTGGTCAGCCTAGATACAGAGAGGAGGGCGTTGGTCCTGCCTCAAACTGATTAGTCAGACTTTGTTGACTTCCCCTGAGAAGCCCTCTCTAGGAATGGACAAGGGTAGGAGGGAGGGAGCAGGAGGAGGGAAGGGAGTGGGAACTGGGATTGGTATGTAAAATAGGTAAAGGCTGATTTTTGGTTGTTGTTTTTTTTAAAGAGTGAGGCTTTAAGGCTAGGCTCCATTAAAAATTTAAAAGCTGTAAGTCTCACGAATTGCACCCAATCAATGATTCCACATTTAAAATTCCTGCTAATGCAGTATTACTTAAATCAGATTTTGTTGAAATTACAGGAAAGTCACTCTGTATGTTACAATTATTAGTACAAACCTGCTCAACTATATTTTCAGTGAAAATCTTCGAATAATCACGGTTTATATATTTTTCCTTCCAGTCCTAAGGGGAAAAAACACACATTTAAACAAGTAACTTTTCCATAAATAAGTATATACAGTATAAAAATTATTCAAATAATGTATAAATAGCTTTGAATAAGACAAAATAGTACTTTTCAGAGGCGAGTTTTATATTTCAAACTTTGCCTGTTCTACATATGGGTACAACATACCATGAAACAAACAAAGCCTTTTATCTATAATGTCTCAGGTTATTAAAATTGAGTATTATTATGATAGACAGATTCATATGCAATATTTAAGAATTAAAATTATAAAATATAAAAGAAATTAAACACGTGGTGTTTAAACATAAAAAAACAGAACGGGAGCCGGGTGGTGGTGGTGCACACCTTTAATCCCAGATCTCGGGAGGCAGAGGCAGGTGGATCTCTGTGAGTTCGAGGCCAGCCTGGTCTATAAGAGCTAGTTCCAGGGCAGACTCCAAAGCTACAGAGAAACCCTGTCTTGAAAAACAGAAACAAACAAAAATAGAACTGGGGATGTAGCTCAGAATATTAAGGGCAGAAAAGACTCCCTGCTTAGGTACAGACCTTATACTTCAGTTAGGTTGGGTCATCATTTTGTATTTATTGATGTTAAAGTTTTAGATTGGACACTAACACTAACTCTTCACTTGAAAACATTTTTCTAGTCAGTGAGTCAATTATGATCTCATTTTTCTTTCAAAAACTCTGAAAATGGGAAATCACTAAGTATTCTGCCACAGAAGAATGAAAGAATGAGCAAAACCACGGGGAAGCAGAGCCTATTCAGCTCAGCACTTTTGCCATAAGCCCTCAAGAGAGCCAAGTTCCTATAGGAACATATCCAATGCAGGATATAAACTAAGAGCTCACCTGGATGCTGATAACTAAGTAATTCTACTTCTCAGAACCCTCAAGAATTCAGAACCCAGCCCAAGTGTGGAGTTGCTACCCTCTCCATAAAAAAGAAAACCATTTTCATTTCTCCCTCACTAATGTTGAAAAGATAGGCAGGTAAAATGGGACAAAAGTACTTTTAAAATATCAAAATGCCAAAAAAGATTATCTTTTTCTATCTAACAGGATTCTATATTCAAAGTTCTTTCTGGAATTCTGCTATTTCTGTGAAATCAAAAACTATTCTCACTAGGTTGCCTGAGTCTTTGTAATTTAAAATTCACTGTTGGCACGGGGAAGACATTTTAAAAAGATAACCAAAATGACTATTCAAGAAAGTTTTCTCGAGGGAAAAATGTGCCAGCTCTACTGAAGAAAGCGATCCTCTTAACAGTCCCAAGAGCGACTACTATCTGAATCAAATTTCTCCAACTTGGCATGTTTCCTTACATGGGAGAAAGATTGATTGGGCTCTGGCTGTCTTCAGTATATATTTACAAAATCGTCAAAACACTTTACTAAAATAATGGGTATTTTTCCAAACTAAATTCTTGATGTATCTGGATATGGGGGAGTGGGAGAGCAGCTGGGGATGAACCTAATGCATTTTGCATGTTACGGAAGAGTTTCATCCCCAAACCATATCTTTAATAACTGAGGTCTTTCCCACCCCCTTTCGAAAATATGTATGTGATTCATATTTTTTCTAAAACTATAATTAAGAACTGGATGGTCCTTTTGAAAACAGAAAGTATAAATTTTAAGAGAAAACAAATAAACTGATTTTTCCTTTTCCTTAAGGTAATATGTCTTAATTTTAAAACGTTTTGGGTCAAGTTTAGAAATATTGAAGACCATAAAATACAACTATTTACACTCATTTAAAAGCATTTATGTGTTACTACTATTACTCAATTTATATTCATTTAGAGCGACAGGAAGATAAGCAACAAGGGAGTTAAACATGAACATACCACAGGGTTTTCAAATATCTGCCAGAGGTCATTGTTGAGGTGGGAGGTATTGTAATTTGCAGTTGACAACAGCCGTCCAAATTCATGTCTGTTAGAAATGTACATAAACATACCCTATGTACCGAAAACAGCAGTATTAATCTCAAAGTGCAGGACATTTAATCATGGGAAAAATATATAGACTGCATTAAATTTTGTATTTAATTCACAAACATGCATTTTAATTTTTCATAAAATGTGTATTATTTAAAATAAATCAAAATTGTTAGAAACTCAGAAAACACACAGAACTAACAGCACAAATGGCCAATAGGAAGAAGGAGACTTGGGCTGCTCTGTCACTTTCTCAGGGATCCTAGAGACAGATAAAGGAAAAGAAATCCCTGTGGGAAAGCAGAAATATTTTTCAGATATGCACGGCAATGGCGTGCGTCTTCTTTTCGGCTTCTTTGCCTTTCAAAGAAACACGTATTTGATGAGAACTCAAGTGCCAGAAGGACTTCGTCAGTGCTTCATATTCCTCTGCTGCATTGTTCAGACCCGAGAGAGTTCTCCAGGCATTTTAAGAGAGTTAAGAGGGAAGTCTCCTGTTCTTCCCTAAACATGGCAAATGTGGCAGATGGCACTGGGCCAAGGATGTCGCTTTGTACCTGTTTTTGTTGGTAAAAAGGTTAGTGGCAAGCATACACATGGGCAAGTGCCCAAACCTCATCTCTAATGAAGATGTACTTTATACCTACTTTCTTCTCCTCTCCACAGCACCCCAAAACCCTACAACATTGAGTAAAAGTATTGGAGGTTATTTCTCTCACCTGCTAATTATAAAATGTAAATTACCTCAATGACCAAAGACCTGACCATCAAGCAACACTCCTCCAAAACCCCACAGCACACACACGGACAGATAAGGAGCCCATGAGGACCAGCATTTTACCAACCAATGCAAACGTGGCTCTTAAGGATACTTTACTGCCACTCAACACAGCATATCTAACATAGTTACATAAAGAAAAATGAATAAAAATAAGTAAAAATGACACCTTTGGGGGCCTGAGCATTTGGAATGTTTCCGGAGTAGGGGAGTCTTTTTCCCTTTGTAAGGTCTAAAATGAAGAGAAGCATGGGTCAGTTGATGTGCACACCTATTTGCCAGGCATCGTGGTACATAAATACAGCAGCTCTGATAAAAAGCTGACATTGTGAAATGTCCTTCTTAGACAACATGCAAAACAAGCAAAGCTTGCGGGGCACACAAAACACTTCCAGCCTTCCCACTGTTTTATTGCAACTTGTTTGGTGAAACACATATCCAAGCTCATTCCTTAGCAAAACTTCATTAGATTAGATACATAATTAAGACAAAGGGGAAAAATGAGTAACAGAGGCCATTCCGGATGCGCTGTTGAGTGAAACCAGCCAAACATAAGCACAAATACAATTAAAGGTACTGAGTGTGTTCAATGAGGATGCACACAGATACACAGGCAATAAACATACTGGAACAACACATGCCTTGTTAAACTAAAAAAAAAAAAAATACTTGCCAACCTTTCTGATATTCCTAAGGCTATGACTGCTTATGTAAATTGAGAAATAAAATAGTATCTGAAACAAAATCTTATATATATATGTTTTCTGAATTAAAACATATTTGTGTGGTTTGAAAAATTATTTTCTATAAGCATTTATGTTTTATTATAAAAGTATATTTCTAAAACATTAATGTATCATCTGCTTTTCATGTGGATTAAGTATACTATTTCCCTAGTTTAGGAAGCCTGCTTTGTAAGAGTGTACCATCAGTATTACAGGGTACACTTAGAAAAAAAATGTAGTCACTGATTTCATGAAAAATTATAAGCTTATTAAACATGTAAAGAACATTTTAAACTAATATTAACTAAACTCAATTTTTAGTATAGAATTTCAGATGTGAATAATGATAAATTCTTAAGGGAACAAAGCTTATTCTTAATTTTGGCTTTATTAAAATCTTTCTATGCAGCTTATGAGTCAGGCCTATACTAACATTTAAATACTATGCTATAGATGTTCACAAATTATTCTCCAAAAATTATAGAACCAAAAAAATTGGCTAGTATTTAGAAATAAGGACGAAAAGGGGTATCCAAACACAGTGACACACGGGCTGGAAAGCAGGCCATCTTGTCACAATGACCAAGCAAGCCGCGGCTGTGCATCTTACCATTTCTCTAGCATTTCGGCAAAGAGCCATGTCAGGATCCAATTTATCACGAACAAAATAGTTCCTCTCACTCATCTCTGATCGGAGTGCCTTTCCTTGAATTAAGTAGACATTAGCCATGTATGGGACATTCCAAATTCCTCTGAAAGTAAAAGATACATTCCAAAAATACCACACGTACAATGTATGTCATGCTTACATTTAAAAGAAATGCTTTGTGTATGTTTAGTATTTGTATATATAAATTATTTAGTCAGAAAAGCATATGATACTTGACAAGTATGATTTTTTGGTATACATATATCCTAATGAGAATTAGGAGAAATTCTTATCTCTATCTCTAGAGACTTTAAGTTGTATCTAGCTGCGGTAGCTCTCCTACCAGTGTTGCTGCAGTTTCACGATAGTCTACTGTACAGAATTATTTTCTGTTTAATCAAAAACATCTGATAGCAAAAGCAATGACACACTGAACCAGAGGTGTTCTGGCACAGCTGGCATGGCTCCCTAGAACAGACACTAGTGCCAAGACTGTATTAGAAAGTTAAATAGGCCATAGAAGAAGTATATATACTACAAAACTTCATAAGCACTACAATTAAGTGTATTCTTTCAACCACAACCAACATAATATGTATGTATATATACTGAAATTCATCGACTTATTTTAGGTGAAATAAATCTGGAAGTGTAAGTGTTGGCAGCTCTCTGTCTTCACCTTTCCCACCTCCATTCTGAGAGGACCCCTCTATCTGGGAGATACCAGCCTGTAGGTCTGTGTCTGTCACTTTAGAAAACAGAAAGGGAAAATCTTGAACTAGGAAATATAATCAGTTTGTATTACTTAGATGAGAAAATACAAGGAAAAAAAAAAAAAACCAAAGGGCCTTTAGCCCCATATAATTTGTCAGGCAAATTCAAGCATTAATTACGATGGAATGCATGATGCTTCTTTCTAAGGGTTTAAATGCAGGTGCATACACACGTCATCAGCCGTCACTCTCTCCTCAAGCTTACTAATGGACCAAGGTCCATACCACCTCTTTATCCTCTGGATAGGTCAGGCAGGAAACTACTGTGTAAAAAACAATCATGACTTACTACAATAACATGAATGCACTGTTCTGTATTTGACAGCCTTCATTTCCATCCAGTCCATAAATAGTATCACATATATGGCCTATGTAAGTCATTTTAGAGTCAATAAAAGTAGTTGAAATAATAAAGAACTGTCTTAAAATAATTTCTTACCTACCACACTAGCAGCTAACAATAACAACTAAAGAAAAAAAAAGGGAAAAAACCCACCAACTTTACTATAGTTGCATCATTCAGATGTAAAGCTCCTCCTCCACCATCCACCACTTCAAGTATGAGTGCAAGTAATATTTACTTCCTAGATGATAGTTGGTATTTTCTAAATTAACAGTCAATCAAATATCAAAAGAGCTTTGTTAAGAAGACACTAGATAAGAATGTTTCTCTTTTTTTCCAGATGGTAGGCTATCACACTTTGTCTTAAGTATCCAACGCATCAGAGCTCATTTAAAAAGTGAAATACAAAAATGTAAAAAGTAGTCTCTGGAAAGAGGTGCCCTTGTACCTAAGTGAGCTCCTACTTCTCAAATTCACTCTAAGCAGAAGGAAGAGAGATAAAGATTATTATTATCAGGCAATATAGTAGAACCAGATTGTTACACTGCTGTATAGGAAAAGATTCACTCCGGTAACTCACACTCTGTTCCCCTGAACGATGTCCACGTAATCTTCAGAGCGAGCGTAGTACCCATCAGGACTCAATGCCCCCCAGAAGTTGGACCATAACTTTCCATGACGTGTCACAAGGGGAGCAATGATCTTCCTAAGAAAGGGAAACCCACATCATTAATAATCCTCAAACTATAAGAGTTGTACCCTTTGCAAGACACATAACACAGGGAAGTTTATTTAATAAATTACTTGAGTATGTGCATATATGTGTGAGTGCGTGTGTGTGTATTACAGAAAATTTAAGAAAAAAATCCCAACATTTTTTCTGCAATGGATACAATGAAATTTTTAGTTATGTGAATTAAAAGGAGCAACAAAAAGGAAAAATTATTGAAAATACTAACAAAATATTGAGATAACATTTTAACAATACATTAGTTACATGTAAGAGAGTCATTGTATTTAAATTAAATTCAAGTAAAATGGGCAAACTGAACGCTCTCTACAGTATTAAGGGAGTCAGTGAATATTTGTTGAATGAAAAACAACCCACACAGATGGGCTGAGACATGAAGAGGCAATGTTTCTAAAACAAATCCTAATCACTTTACCATCTGTCTCCAGTATTTTATGACTTTTTATACTAGGTTGTAGTTGTAAGCTGGCCTGGTAGCAATGAATACGTCAGTCTTTACTTAGAAACAAAACAGAGGCTCTTGTCTGGAATGGAAAGTCCCCAGGAACTAGGGTTTCAATTTACTTGCTACCCTGATGGAGCTGAGAGACTGAGAGACAGCACCTTGAGAGGTTCCTAACTTCGGAGAAGGTTACACAAGGGCAGGGACCTTGAAACTCATTTCCTCCCTTGCTCCTGCAGCCTCAGCTTGTCCCTCCTCTCACGATATAGCTGAGAATGTCACAAGGCATCCAGGAAGTGCAGCGGCAGCCCCTGCATATGATGCCAAACCACTCAGCCTCCAAGTCTGTGAGTCAAATGAACTTCTACTGTTTATTATTTAGCCAGTTGGTGGCTTTTTGTTAAAGCCATTGCAAACACAGTAAGACACTGTGACTATATTCTCTTTTAATAACTATTTGGAAAGTGGTACCATTTAGACTAACAGAATACAAATTTGAAATATGTCAGACTTCCCTTGGGAAACTTTATTTGTAATACCAACATTTCCCGTATGAGTAAAAAGTCAGATGTTCTTCTACAATTACTTTTATATTGCAGTGGCACCATACAATTTAAGAAAAGCTCACGATTCTTCCACAGTGCTTATGGACTCCACAAAGAAGCCTAGTTAACATGCCCAACACTTGTGAAGATGAGCTGGCATCTTCCTTGTACATATACAGAAGATAAATATATAAATATTATATATCGAGACTAGAGATTGCTTAGTGATTAAGAGCAATGGCTCCTTATCCAGAGGACCCAGGTTCAGTGCCCAGCACCCACATGTCAGCTCACAATCCTCTGTAATTTTAGTCCTGTGGTAGCCTCTTCTGTAGGCAACAAACACACCCACACACACACACTCACACACTCACAGTACCCAGATATACATGCAGGCCAAGCACTCATACACATAAGAAAAATTATAATACATACATATATATATATATATATATATATATATATATATATATATATATATCATGCTCACCAAGATTTTTTTTAACTTTCCCATTTACCAAACATTGCCCAGAAGCACATAGATTTGTACTGTAGAATAACTATAGCACTATAAAAAAATGATGAAAAAATTTGCTTTATGGGTATTTATGGGTATTCATGGTTTAATGTCCATAACTGACATCAAGTATTTTGACAATTAAAAGACAGAAACAGAAGCCCTTCTAATATATAATCTCAGTGTCTTCTGAAGCACTATTACAAATTTCCTATATAATACTCAACATAAAGAAGTCATGCTAACATTTTAGCTTCTACATCTTTTCTTCTTTAGGAGAAATAGTGTGTTAATGTAGACAAACAGTGCATGTGAGGTGTGAGGAACAGCGAATAGCAACACAATCAGTAGTAGCTGTAGTACAGCAAGTAGGATTAAGACCCTTATATCTAGATCTCTATGTCTTTATTCCATTGCATTTGAATCACTGAGAATAGGGGCTCCATGACATTCAGTACAACAGTAAATGCAACTATGGCTGTGAAGAGACCAGTGTATCTGAAATGTCTGATTTTAGAATTACAACTCTATGAAATAAATGATGAGTTTTATGAAAACTTATATTTAAAATATCTACGGAGAATAAAAAAATTGAAACTTTTTTAGTATCAGAAACATTAATAATATGACTAAACATAGTTTTAAATAGAAAAACAAACCAAATACCATTAGCAGTCACTGTTTGGGTGTATTATTGGACATTTTCATTTCTAAGATTGCTAATGGAATATTTAGTACTGGGACCTTAAAAGGTATAGGATAGTTGAATATGACCTACCTCAATTTATTTGTGTGCCACACACATGGGAAATTATCATATTACTAATGAATTCATGTTAAATCGTAGTACCTGTTTTGTTCAATCAAAATTTTTAAAGTTTTCGGGTTTGTCAAAACAACATCTGCATCCACACTAAAATAGTAATCACAGTTTTCATCCTGACGGCAGAAATCCCTGATGTTGAGAAAGAAAATAAAATAAGCATTAGGCAAAATTTCCTGCTTGGAAATATTAATGTAAAGCAAACGTAAGTAGGAATGTCCTAATGTATTTTCAATCAAAACTTCCATGATACTACAAATGACTAATTCATCAACCCATGAATCCATAGGTAAACATCACTACAATTTTAGATCAAGTGAGATACATATTTAATTCACTAAATATTTTAAGGCAAAAACCTTTAGGAGCTATAGGGGTGGTTCAGTATATAATAGCAGTTGCTATGCTGTGCATGCAGAATGACTTGTGGCCCAAATTCATGTACAAAGACAGAGCATGGTCCAACACACAGGCCAACGACCCCACTACTTAAGGGGCACAGACAGAGAGGGGTGGCTGGGACTGGCTGGTCTCCAGACTGGCTCCAGGGAAGAGACGTTATCTGAAGGGATAAGGTAGATACTGATAGATAAGGACATCTCGTGGCCTGCTCTGGCTTCTGCACACATGACAGGTGCATACACTTATGCATACACATATACCACATGTACACAACATCTGCTAACAATGGGAATTTGTGAAACATATGTTTTCTGAAAGAAGAAATAACTTACCCCAATTTATTGATATTTTAAATTACCTTTTACATGTAAACACCTAGATACACAAAAAATACTGTGCCACCGATAATTCAGATTTTTAGGGGATTCAAGTTACTTTTGGTGTAGTGTGGTGTGTGTATGTGTGTGTGCGTGTGTGTGTGCGGTGTGCTGATGGAGATTAATCCAGCCTTACACATGCTACGACAAAAATGACATTGTCTGAAAGGAATTATGGAGATAAAGTTAAACGTTTCTTAAGTGTTAATATTTTACATTTGATTGCATAGAGTGCTTTTTAAAGACAGTTATGTCCTGCCTGCTCACTGGAAGTGCTGACTCACGTTTTCCCAGGAGAGACTGCAGTGTTTCCTATCGGAAACCAAGGACCGAGCCACTGACGACACCATGACGACCTGCGACGGCCTATGATCATCATGCATTTAGGATGCATTTAGCTATGGCTTCTGCTTTTGGATACTCCTGCCTGCTTCACTTTTCCGGCCTCACAGCCGGCCCTACTGGCCACTTTCTGCTCTTCAGTACATTTTTTCAAACTAGCAACCAAGCAGGACAGTTGACGGGAAAATTTACAGCAATTATTCCACACCATCAGAGAGAGTGAGTCCTGAACAGGGACTCAAGGGATTAACCAATGAATTAGTTAAAGATACTGGCATTTCTGACTACTCTAAAGCCTTTCCCAAGAAGAAACCCTAACTGTGCGATAGACTTGCACAGTACAAGGCATGAGAGTCAGCAACAGACAAGAACATCCCCTGTTAAGAAGGCCCAGTATCCTTGCCTTTTTACAAGCAGCTTCTCAAAATGCGGGCTAGAGCAACAGCTTGGCATTCACTGGAGACACAACTGCTTGGTGGCAGAGTTTCACAAGTACTCTACTGGAGTACTAAAGAACCGAAAGCAGCTCTTCTGAGTACAGAGTCTTAGCAACGTCAAGCAAGAGCACACAAATTCTGCATAGGTGCTTTACTACACGGCCTCTGGATGACAAATTTAAATATAAGCATTTTGCTCTTACAGTCATAATATTCATTTATCTCTTTTGTTTAAATCTTAACTGCAGCTAATTCATAACCTGATTAAGTATTTTGACTTGGTTTAAAGAAAAGTATAAGTAACTCCCACGGCCACTCCTGTGTAACTACATCCACACAGAACTGTCTCCTGCAGCTGTATCTGTGACACACACACATACAAAGAGGTGCCTTCCAACTTGAATAGAACAAATTGGGGAAATTTTTTTTTCTTAAAATTCATCTACCAGAATAACAATTCAATATATATTATTCAAACATACATTCCCATGTTTCTGGCTTCCGCTTGACTTAGATTTTCTTCCGGTCCTACTATTTTTATAGTACTGATTTCAAGCTTAGCTTTATCAAAAAACACTTTGATGTCCTTTTCATGATAAACTTCCTGTAACAAATTTTAAATATAAAAAATTAGATGGAAGACAAACTGAATTGTTTACAAAGACAATACTTCATGCTTAAAGTATAAATTATATAATTCAATTATTCAATTACAGAAAACATACTTAACTATCACCTGAAAAAAATCAAAGAACATAAAATAGATTTATATCAATAGCTAAAAAGAGAAGCTGCTTCAAAATTACTTCAGTGTCTGCTAAAAGGTCAAGTCCTGCAATAATACTTAAATCCTAGTCATTACAGACAATTCTAACTGAAGGGGAAATATCTTGTTGCCTAAGAATCTTAGATATTTGCTACAAAAATTTAGAAATAAGGTTTATTAAATGTAATAAATATTAGTATATTATGTGTATAAACAGCCTTTTTATTTGTGCAAAATTAAATTGAAAAATAATCTCTGAAGCCAAAGAGTACAATTAATGACCATATACAAAATTGTCTTTAGACAAAAAGAGAGTATTTAGCAAATTCACATTGACCAACAGCCAGCTAGCAGTGTAAAACCATCGATCTAGGACGATTCCTGATTTGGCTGTACCGAAGTTAGGGGACTTCCTCTCCAGCACCAGTGTGTGTGGAGTTTTCTATGCATCACATCTTACTTTTCCTTCTCAAAAGTGCTGTCCCAGCATGGTAAGGTCAGTTGTTACATAAGGCTGCATGACACAGCCTTAAAAAAATGATAAAAAATGATGTTAGGAAATTTAAGGCCATTTGAAATTTGGTAAAAGGTCAACAAAAAGCACATGACCACAACTGTGTTACGTACTTGTGGTAAGTATCAATATTATAATTAATTCTGGACAGCAAATCATGTCTGATATTTACTCTTTGAACTTACTAAAGGTGGGTTTCTGAAATTTGAAAACGGTCTCTGAAAAGAGTAAATGATTATAAGACATACCAAAAAAACCAGACTATTAGTTGAATGAAAACCTATTAGCACAAGAGCAGAAAACAAGAAGCTCTGGAGCTGACAACTTAGGACTAAAACAAATACTGACAGAAATGACGTGTTTAAAGTCCATGTCTGGAGGATTGGAATGTCGCAGAAGAAATAACAGTATCGCGTTTCGCTGGTGAGGAGCATGCCACTTTGAGCTGGAGGGAGGCAGTGCTCTGGAAGCGTGTCTGCTCTGATGCTATGGTATTATTGCTGCAAAAACCAAAGGCCAGTCTACAGAAGAATGCCCCAGAGTCGCCGAATGCAAAGGAGAACAGGCTCTCTTGCTCATCCTCATCAATTATGCTGACAAACTGTGTGGGAATGGCTAATATTCAGGCATTCTGATCTACAGAAACTCTCAATTTCATGTGGCTTGGCTTAGTATTACATTAAACTTTCAATTCTTAAGACATAACAGAAGTGTAAAACATTCCTTGGTTTTAAGGTGCAAGAGGAGTCGCTTCAAAAAAATTCTCACATTCAACACTCAAGACTGAAATACTTACTTTATTATGAATAAAGAGTTTAAGCGCTTCTTTGGGATAATCCAGTGTTAACAGTAAGTCCAGGAATCGAGGTAGAAAAGGGGTTGGTTGTTCAATAAAAACACCTATTGTTACCTTTGGATGGACCTACGTTTTAGAGCAAACACAAAAGCAAATTACGATCAGTATAATTTCAAATTCTATTCAAATATTAGCGGGGGGAAAACAACAAGCAAGGAAAAGAAAAGAAACAGAACAAATAAAACAACAAGAAACACAAGACTTTCGGGTCAGCACAATCACAAAGCTGGCCTCAACCACTGAGTCCTCTAACACTGCAAGTCTACCTCTGTGAAGCCAAACAAAGTGATTTTATTGAATCACTCTCGTAACATGGATTTATAACGTAAAGGAAGGTATTATCCTATTCACCATATGGATGACATGGTACACAGCCTGTGTAAGTCATCCACTTCCTTCAGGACTCCTCTCAAAAAAGCCAAATGGTGTTTTTAAAAAATTCTATAAAAAATACCAGAGTTCTAGATCAGGGATGCTGCTCATGGTAGAGTGACTCCCTACCTCTGGGCTTGGAGAACAAGTAGAGGTGAGGAGAAAGAAAAAAAAAAGAAAAGAACGGGATGCAGGAGGAGGGAGGATGGAGAGGAAGAGGGGGGATAAAGAAGAATGACCCCATCTTATTAACAGGCTTTGCTATTTTTTACTTACTTTCAGCATATTATGTTATAAGAAAATCTACTTTCTTCTGTTAACATATTACCTAAATGTGAATATTTTTATATGTTTTCTTAAATCCACTTTAAGCATGTGTTAGGTATAATTTCTTTTTTCTTATTTTCTTATGTAAAATATTTGTAATACACATTGGCCATGGCAGTCTTTGTGATGGGTGAGGTTTTATCAATGGGAATGGAAGCTCCTGGTTTGAAAAGGTTATGATCAAAGTAGTAAAACAGATATGCAAGTGAATTATTATGCAATGAGACTAAAACCAGAGCTGCATGAAGTCTTCATGGAGCCCAAACGTGCTGAGCAAGTCCACTACCACTGCACTAGAAACTCAGACCCAGAAATAGAGATGTGTTTAGTCCTGCACATATTAAGTGTTGAATGGGCTATTTCTTCCCGTCTCTTCACACATATCCCTCCATTATCTGGATATGTGAACGTCTGCTTGTAGGGAAGTGAGCCTGTCCATTGTGCTTTATCAGTTCACTGGCCCAAACACCAATTACGAGATGAGGAAATAAATGCAAAGAACTAGAAACAGTACACCTACCCTCTAGGAGTTTTCAGTTTAATAGAAGAAAAGAGTCAAGAGCAGATCATATCTCCTCTAAAATGTTTAATTCAAATATACCAAGTGCCTAAGAAGTTAACCATCCCACATTTATAAACGAGCAGGATGGAATTCAGAGTAGTAATTTACATCCATTGCAAGCTTCTCTTTAATATTTATTAAAGTAATTTAACTATGAAACTTAAACTGTCTCTAAAATGTGCACGTGTAGGGCCAGATGAACTCGGGCAGTGAGGCGTTTGCCACTGATCCTGTCAATCTAACCCACAGGGCTCAAAGAGCAAAAGAAGAGAACCAAATCTTGCAAGATGTCCCCTGACCTCCACACATGTACACAAAATGTACTAACATATACACAAATATATGCACAAACATAGCATAAATGAATAAAAATGTGAATAAATTTAACTCTACCCGGTAAGAAGCTGTTATGACCCACATTTAATCATATGCTGTGTGCAGGATCTTAACTCCTACAAATGCTTCATTTCTATGTCCCTGTTGCATGCTCACTATGTTTTGAGAACTACAGAATTTTATTATATTTAGGAATAAGTAATTTTCCCTTTCTAGAACAATTTAATAAGTTGTAAGTCAAGTGCAGAAACCAAATTATTTATATGCAAAAAAAAACATTATTTATATGCTGAATAAAAACCTCAACACTAACATTTTATCCTTGAATGAGAAAGTTTAAATTAAAAGGGAAAATCCAAACAGAAGGAATTGATTCTCCTTCTAGAGGACACCATTTTCTGCAAAAAGCATCAAGACAAGTGTTTAAACATCTCCATGGTGCGGATTCATTCAGAACTGCTTTGGCCCTCTTTCCAGAAAGGAAACATTTAGTTTGTTGCTTCAAAATCTGGCCAAAAACCTTCCTTTCAAGTGACATAGAGTTCTATTCAGAAGTTACTAAATGTAGACAATTTACTTTTTATCCTCCCTTCAGACTGGGGTGAGAAATCAAGCACTAGTTTACGGAGATCCAGTGCCCTGTGCCGTGGGACCTTGCCACTCCACAGCTGCTGCAGTCACACGTCTCTGGGGACTTTATTTTTACCAGTGTTGCTTTGACTTCACTGGCACGCTGTCAGTTGCTCAGTCTACTTACGACAAATAAGGTCAACTTTTAGCTGTCAGTGCTTTCAAAATAATCGAAAGCACAGGCTTCTAGATTTTCTACGTCACTGTACTTTCACATTAGAAATCATCATCAAACATACGAGGAAAACTATAGAACAATTTGCCCTTTTCCTGTGTCACTGCATCTCATGACAATGTAGCTTTCTAATTGTATGTTCATACACATAAATTCCACTTACATCCACTGCAGACAAGTCAATTGTGTCAAAGTCACAAAGAGCACAGCCACTTTCCTGTGTCCATGAATTAGGAACATAGTTTCCAAAGTAATTCTGGAGAATCTAATAAATGAAGGAAAAAACAGATGAACAGAAGCAGTCTGTAGGCACCAAGTTGTCACTATACAATTACAAAGCTTCAGAGAATTCTTGTCTGCACCTGGCAAAATTCCCCAATCAAACTAACATTTATCACCAACATATATACAATTCTTCAGGTGATGAATCATTAAGTTCTATAAACTGTGTCTAGAAATGACCAAGTTGTTATAAAAAAATAAAAGTCATATTATTTGATATAACTTGATGTAAGGAATACTAGAATTTGCCATTGTAACCAAAAAAATAGGCCAAGTATTTTAAAGGAACAATTAAGACATTTAGACAAACCACCATGATTCAAGTATGCAGTAATGAGATCAATATGTTTAAATGTCCAGCACAGACATTTAAATTGACCCATTACCTGCAGTAAATGGGGCAAGGGTAAGGTGGCTTCTCACCAAACACATCACATAGAACAAAGAGTGAGGCAGCTTTATCACCAAAGAACACAATGCTATTTCTGGAGACGTAAACGGAGCCTGCTTGTTCATTTTCCGGCCATGCAGACCCAAATAATCACACAGAAACTATACTAACTATAACACTGTTTGGCCAATAGCTTAGGTATATTCCTAGCTAGTTCATGCATCTTAAATTAACCCATTTCTATTAATTTATGTATCACCATGAGGCTGTGGCCTACCAGTAAGGTTCCCGTGTCTGTCTCCTTCAGCAGCTACAACATACACCTTGACTCTGCCTACTATGTCTATATATTTTCTGTTCAGATTTCCTGCCTGGCTGTACTCTGCTAAGCCACTGACCAAAACAGCTTTATTCATCAAACAATAGAAGCAACACATATACAGAAGGACATCCTACATCATAGAGACGCTTCTGTCAGCCAGGCTTCGGGGTGCTGCTCAGAGGACTAATGCAACAAGGGATTAAAACAGTCATTCCACAAACCAAAGAAAAGCAGCAGTGGAGACTGCTTACCTATCTGAGAGGGCATCTCCTCTCTGACTAGCCCCCCTCTTTTAATTATCTATTGAGATTTATCTCATTTTGTAAAAACTGTCATTTTATATTTTGAAGGGTAGTCAGTAAAGGGAGGAAGTTGGCACAAGAAACAAGCAGACTACAATTCCCTTTGAGCCCTCAAAATATCTTGAACCTTTCTGAAACTGGGATATTGCAAAATCATTCTCTAGATGTATACGTAACAAAGTTACTACATGCTTTGCAATCTTGATACCACACAGTGTCTGTTGTTAAATTACATTACCACTGTAAGAACACACTTCAAATCCTCATTATGCTCATATAATCATGTTTTTCATATTTGCTTGTTTGTGTCTGTTTTTGCTTTGAGACAGGGTTTCTCTGTGTAGCTATGGCTGCCCCGGAACTCCCTCTGTAGACCATGCACCCCCAGAACTTGCAGAGATCTACCTGCCTCTGCCTCTCATGAACGCTGAGATTAAAGGCTGGTGCCACCACTGCCAGCTAATCATGCTTTTCTTGTCGTTGCTTTTTTTTTTTTTTTAACATGGCAAAAGTAAGACATTCAAAAGAAAAAGTCAAACATTTTAAAGACAGAAGTGAGAGCACATAAGTAAGTGCTTACAAGATATTTCCAGCTTCTTAAGACCCTAAAGTACAGCACACAGGGAGCTAATTCGGCCATTTTACCAGTGTCCTTTCCTAGGTCTATCAAAATATTTCTACTGCACAGAAATTTCAATCAGAAAATGCTAAAGCCAGGAAACTGCATTAGCACAGGAAAGCCTTTGTGCTACCTAAATGCTATAGAGGGGGATACACTGAACCTCTGTAAACCTAAGAAATGGGTAAGCATCACAACAGCTTTGGATGATATGGGACCTCAGAAGTCAGAAACCATGTCATGACAGTCATTATGACATTCCAAGAGTCAGTATGGCTGGGCATGGTTTTGGTGCACACCTTTAACCCCAGCACTCCAGGGGCAGATGCAGGTGAATCTCCTTGAGTTCAAAGTCAGCCTGGTCTACAAGGCGAGGTAAATGTTAGCCAATACTCTCAAATACAGTCAATACAGTGTCATCCTCTCAAAGAGGGGTAGGGAACAATGGAACATTTAAAGTGCATAAAAAAAACAAAAACAAGACACAGAAAGTACTTCTGATTGACAAATAATGAAGGTGAATAATAAAATAAGACACACATATATACATTATACATTATATATATATATATATATATATAATGTGCTCCGTAATAAATGTTACTTTGAAAGGACATGAAAATTACAAAACACATAATCTTCATTAGAATGTCCTTGAAAATATTTTTAAAGGAAGTAAAAGTCCCTGAAATTGCTGGACACATTAAAAATTCTCACATTTAAGAACTGACACTTTTCCCACTTAGAAATAACATCAAAATTTAATATTTGTGCCATGAATTCTAGATTCCCTGTATGAATATGAAAATGACCAACAGTCCTAAGGGGTAAAGCACAAAGAAGCAAAACTTTCAGTTTTCAGAAATAAAGTTCGATTTTGTAACTTTCCACCTTCTACCCTTTTTCCAGAGTAGTAAACGTTGGGAAACAGTACTACTTATGGGAAATGTCCTGGTATTTGTCATCCCATGGCAGAGACTGCCCATCTCCTCCCAATACCCATACACCAGGGCATCTGTTTCCCTCGTAACAACTGTGGACATTTTTGCTGGCCGCTGGGGAAGGTGTGGAAAGCTGCTGAAGGGCGAGGCTGCCTTGAGTTCCTGGGCACCGAGCAAGAACTTTCCTGAGTCCTCTTCAAAGTACATCCAAATATGATGTCATCTGCACTCACAGAGGGCCCATCCCCACCCCATCTAGCTATTAGTCAAGGTCGCAGCAGCTAAGAACTATGATTTTGGGGCATGGATTAAGGTCATTGATTTTTATTATAAATCAAATTATTTGAAGAAAGTATTTCTTTTCATGTGCAGCACATGTGATTATTCTAGGATCTCTGAACAATTAGGGGAATAAGGCTTGCTCTCTGGGTCTCTGACCTTTACTGTTCCTAAAAAGGTAGACACTAAAGTGAAGTATGTGCCTATAGAATAGAAGGTCATAATCTTGCTAAGAGAAAACCCTGTTTAAGTCAGATGCTACACTGCATAAAAGACAACGCAAATAAACTGTTCATATTCAAGTTTTTCAAAGAACCTGTTTTAAAGAGATGATGACCCTCCCATATTGTTCCATAGTCCAACTCAGAGAAACAGACAATCAGTTAATGGGTATAGGGACTTACTTTGGTGGGCCCGTTTCCATTAATTGCTACTGGCAGTGTTTCATAAAACGTATTCTTCACTCTGCTTTTACCATTTTCAAATTTTAAAACCACCTCATCTGGGTTAAAAAGAGAAAAGTTTTTCTTAACTTCAAACATCTGTAGGTCTATGTATTTCTAAGACACACAATCACATTATTCAATGCACAGAAACTATCTTGCCCAGGTCAGCAGTTTCCAAATTGAAGAAGGGTACAGGTACTCACAGGCTGATTCCAACCAAATGCCCAAGCACTAAGCCGGGTTGTCGAGTGCTTTGCTGGTCCCTGATGTGTTTGCCAGCAGTGTGGCACCAGCTGGATCCACTATCACAACTTATCTGTAGTGGACCCAGACCGGCCTTGAAGGCTTATTCTAGAAAGAGCAAGCAATGTGTGTAATGGCGAAGGTGCATTGCCTGGCATAAGCAAGCCTTTCACAGCTGACTGGTGTGCAGCTCTGAACTGGCCTTCTATCCCAAGAACCCAATCACTCCATGGACAGCACCAGAACTGTATAGAACTATAACATATTCTTAACTTTTTAAATAATATGCATTAGTAAATAAAAATATTTTGAGTTTTAGTACATAAATTAAAACATCAAGAATACTCACAAGTATGTTCATGGGCAATCTCTTTGCAGATGTACCCACATATGCTGGTGTGGACATGTTCTCTCTGTGTGTACTCACAAATATGTAACTGAGTAATCAAAAGTGTGCAGTTGTGTGCACACATTGTATGTTTATTCATAATTATCCAGGTTTATTCACATATTCTTGAGGCAATATTTAAAAATGTGCAGGTATATATACATGATATATGCACATTCATGTGCAGGTTTGTGCACATGCTCTGCATATATACTCACAAGTGTGCGCATACACACTCTGTACATGCACTCACAAGTATGCAAACATGCTTGCTTGTGTATTTACAAGTGTACACATATGCCCCTATGCTCTGTGAGAGTGTATTCACATATAAACTGGTGTGCACACATGCTTTTTGAGTGTACTCACAGATGCAGGTGTGTGCACACATTGTGTATATATATTCATAAATTGCAGGTTGTTATGTGCAGACACTATGGAATTGTACTAACACATAGTTAGGTACATGTGCATACTCTGTTAGAGTGTACTCCCTTGTCTGTCAGTGTAAACACATGTTCTAGTATAGTCATGTTAAGTTCATGTGTGTACACATACTTTGTACATATACTCACGAGTGTGTCACTGTGTACATGTTCTTTGTATGTACTCATAAGTGCACTTAGAGTGAGCATGCTCTGTAAGAGTGTATTCATGAATGTGCAGGTATGAGCACACAGTATACTCCTAAGTGTGTAGGTTTATACACACACTATAAGTGTTCTCACAAATGTGCACACACTTGATGCAGATAGCCATAAGTGTCTGGATGCATACACACACTCTGCAGAAGCATATTCATATTAGGAATGGAATTTTCTGAACTATATGAAAACATCAAATTAAGTTCAGTGCTTGATTTTTTTTTAAAACATATTCGAGGCTGGCACCTTGGTCATAGCTCCAAATGGTTTACTGGAGAAGAGAATGCTGAATACAGGCATTCACAACTACGAGAAGACAGTGTATGTATCTATACCTGTAGCTCCATTCAAGGCCTGGAAAATTTTGCATTTGTGATCCAATGTGATGTTAAATGCTTCCTAAAAGAAAAGGAAATAGGCAACATTGAAAATTATAACAGAAACAACCGACAACATGGTCAAATTGATGTAGGCATCTCTGGGGTAATTTACAGATTAAAAACTTGCTCAGTGTATTAAGGAAAAGATTCAGATGACTAAGACAGACAGCACTGGAGGTAGACGCACACACAGACAGGCCTTGCTTCCCTGCTGACAGGGTGCAGAAGTCACAATGCAAGAAACATCACAAATGCACAGAAAATAAACAAAATGTAACTTCACACTATTTAAAATAATTTTTTTTCAATTTACAGTTTCCTTTTTTTTTCTCTGAATTAAAGATTAAATCAATCTTATGAACTCGCTCTATAAAGTTAGTGGCAGATTCGGTTTTAACAGTCCCCAGATTTTCAGTATGGAGTATGTATTAGGAAAAGCATGAAATTGCATTTATGTGTTATGTGTAGTTACATGATATGTTATGTGCCCTTCCTGACTCTTCCTGAAAGGCTAGCTAAGGAGACTTCAAGAATTTAAATGGCACTTTGTTGTTTTTTTCAACCAACCTGCATTTTATCTGTCTGACTGTCATGACCAGGGCTCCGACAGCCATCTGGTCACAGAGACACTGAAAATACACACTCCACATATAGTGTGGAACAGACAAGAGCTACCTTGCTGGAAAGCAGGACACCATTGTTGCAACCGACACTATCTCAGAGGAAAAAATAAACACATTGACAAATATATTTCTCATTTAGCCCACTACTATGTTTAGTTAGTGTATTTGTGATAATTACAATATTTTTATTAGGAAATGAGGCTCTGTCTCTGGCCCCTAGAATCTCAGGCCATAATCTCTGGAATTTCATAATCTAGTCATTCCATAATTTATACTCTAAAGCACTTTTTTTCTGTTTCCCCCGTTTTTGGTCAGTATGTACATGTATGGTGAGTGTGTGTGTGTGTGTGTGTGTGTGTGTGTGTGTGTGTGTGTTTGCCTGAGTATGAGTATAAATGTATTTAGAAGCCAGAAATAGACATTGAGTATCTTTTTTAATTGCTTTCTACCTAATGTGGAGACACTTGAATCTAGAGTTCATCAATTCAGCTAATTTAGCTAGCCAGCTGTCTAGGGACCTCCAGCTATTTCTCAGAACTGAGACTACAGGTAAGCCTGTTTGGCATTTATGCAGTACTGAGAATCCCAACTTGGTTGTCAAGCTGACAAGGAAAATGTTTTACCCACTTAGCCACCTTTGCAAACATTCTTAATCCTCCAGCTGGCTATAAACCCCAATGAGATCTGTCTACACAGGACCATGTCCCATGCTATATCTGCAATACCAGTCACCTGGACGATGGTGAGGCACCCTCAAACTCCAACAAGTCTTATAGAGATGTTCATTCCAGTGTGACAAACTCTTTTTCAGTGGGCTTAACCATATGCCACTTCAAAGTATCAAACAAAGTATTGCCATGCACCATGGTAGACGTTTAAAAGTGTTATTGCTAGAACATTGTGTCTTAATGATAGATGTCTGCTCCACACAGACATCATTGTCTGGAGCTGGTTTTGGTCTCCAGGCTCAGAAACCTTACTTATTTCTCCCATTCTGATATCAAGAGACCTGGCAGTGAGTATACAGCAGCTGAGGCTGCATGCTCGTAGAGGTTGGCCCTGAATTTCCTAGTCGTTTGATGTGTTTCCACACAACATGGCAAATAACAGGGTCTAAAACCTATTTTTTTTCCTCTTTAATGAACCTAAGTTGGGCAATATTTTTGACTCAGCCACTGAGAGAGACAAAGACAATCAGACACTTCTCATATCCAAAGGAGGGAGACCGAGGTCACCTACTCAGTACTTATTCTTTGGGTGTGGAGAGTTTCAATTGCGACACCAACAAAAATAATTCAGTTTCCCAAAATCTTTTTGTTTCTGACTCATCCCTGAGAAAAATATAAAAATCAAAGCAACCAAAGCAGCAAGAAGAGAAACTGCAAGTTCTCCCTCACCCTCTTCACTGGGTCGATGTAAATTTTTGTGTAGAAGAGCTGATCATCGTCGTTATCCTGCAGATTCCACTGCTGGACAAGACGGCTGATGTATGGAGCATAGCCCATGAAGCCTGCAACACACAAACACAGTAGACAGCTCAGAATTCAAAGACCCAAGCATATGTCATCGTTAGCTCATTCGAACAGCTGACAAAGCTGCAAAGTCATGAGGTCCAATGTTTATGCATGTAGGTTAAAATGGAGAGACAAGACTAATTATAATACAAAGCAAGCTAATCAAAGATGCTTTTAAACATATGCATTCCTGAAGTTAACTGATAAATAAGAACGTTGCGAGGTTGCTAAGGTAAGGCTAACTGGGGACAGAGCAGGGTGAGATGGAATTCCTCTAGAGCTTGTGAATGGCCCTTCTTGAACCCACTGAAAAGGAACCATTGCTTCTGAATGAAGGAAATGTCTCCCACTGTGCCAAGATTCCAGCGTAGGCAAAGAATGTGGATTGTCATCAACTACAAAAATCCTGAAGAAACTTTCTATCCAGGAATTTTGGGAATGTTTTCCATTACTTGAAACCAGTCTTACTGTGCCTGGTAGATCATTTTTCTGGCTAGATTTTATATGTCATTGTCTGGAAAAAGGAAATCTAAAATTGAAGTCTTCCCCTTGGCCTTCGAGCCTCTGTGATGAATCTGCCAATAGCACATATCTATAAAGACAGAGACAAAGGGGTCATTTTCTAGGTCTTCCCGAGTTTCAGCCATGCAACCAGCTGCTCTGCTTCAATGGCAGACAACACTCACCACACACAGACCACAGTTTAAAAAAAAAAAGTTTATTTTATTTTGCCTGCTTGTTTGTATGTGAGCCATGAGTGTGCAGGTGCTCACAGAGGTCAGAAGACAACGTCATGTCCCCTTGACTTAGAGTTACAAGACTTGTGAGCTCACCAATGGGATGGGGATGGCAGGAACTGGACAAGCAGGGAGCATTCAGCCACAGACCATCTCTCGAGTCTGACAACGTATTTTTAATTACTATGAATAATCCTCAATAATAAAAAAATTGATGTGTCATTTTCACTGATTTATATTATTGTCTTATAAAAAATTGTTTCCTTACCCTTTTTCTAAGGCCAAATACCTCTAAGTAAGTGAAATAAAATTACATTCAGATGTATTCATAATTTATTATTTTTTCAATTAACATGTCTTAAAACTAAGTGGTACATTTTTACTAAGTCACAACTCATGTCCTTTAAATGTCTCTTAAAAACCGTGCAATCACACACTCTGACTGCACACACTCATGCTGCTATCCTCTCCCTGATAATCCATGGAGATAGAAGCGTGGTGTTTTATCTGTGAGGACTTTCCCTGTGTTAGGTGTGACAGTACCACTTACCTGCTAATGGCTGTCATTTCCACAGCACTGACAGTCCCTCAGAAATTTCCCTCAGTGGCTATACTGCTTGCTATCCAGAAGAATGTCTACCATAGAATATCATGTGTATGAATTTTCCAGGAAAAAAATAACTGAATGCAAAAATATAACCTAATCCAAAGCTATTCATCATCTTTAAAATTTACATTTTAAAACCTCTAATGAGGGCTAAACTGCAAAGTGAACTATTTATTGTGACTAAGGGCTTGAGAACTTAGTGGTCAGGTCAGAGGAATAGCACCATATCCATGACAATGCCTCCAAAGGGGAAAGAGTGAGCAGGCAGCTGTAGCAGGGCAGTGAGGTCGGCAAACTAACACAGCCAGTCCTAGATACTGACTTGAATACAAGGCCCCTCAGAGATGGTGAACAGTCTCGTAAGATATACCAGGGTCGAGAGGTCCCAAAGGCACAGACAATATGTGTTGGGATGGCGGAAAGAGGAGCTAAAAGTACAGGCTATAACTTGAGGTCTCAGAGGTCCATGATTCATACAGACTGAGAGGTTCTAAATTATGACTGTGGGGTGGATGGGAAAAATGGCAGAGATGTAAAGACTGAGCTTGAGTCACTGCAGAGAAATGACAAGCTTGTCACCATAGATGACTAAGCTATGTCTGCTGCCCACATACGCTTACCTCAAACAGTATTTATGGAGCTGTCTGAACAAGATCCACTGTGGATCAAAGACCAAACACCCACTTCCCAACATGGCTAGCAACTGGACCTAACTTATCTCTCTGCCATGCTATAAAATACACTATACTGGTAAACTAGCATGTCTTATTTAAGCTTGCTAAACTGCTAAGAGCCCTCTCTTGTGTCAGATTCAAGCACGTTTTCATCACGTGTATCCAAAACTATGTCCTGGGCCAGGATGACCTCTGGCACTGAAATGGGAAAGACAGTTAACAGCTAAAGTAGTAAACATAGTGTTTAACTGAACAGCTTAAACCAACATTGGTTACCATTGTTTATCCCATAATGCAACAGGAAACCAGAAGCTCACTGAGGGAGGGATTCTCAGCAACCCTGTACTGCTGCTTCTTCCCCAGTCCATTTCTGCAGGATGCTGTGAGTCTTGACTTGACAATGGTGTCTCCTTGTTTGCACTCTCAGCCTGGGTACTGTTGCATATTGTAAATGCCTAACTTGATGCTTGATTTTTTATCTGCAACTTTTAATTTTGCTTTTATACACTAAATCAACTCACTCATTTGAAACCAAATTAGGGTTTTCACAGGTCATTCTTACACAAAACACGTGTCCTCCATCCTAATGTGTTTACATTTACCTCAGTTCAAGAAAAACTAATTCTGTAGTCACAATACACCCAAAGTCAAATTTTCATTTATCATTAAGGGCGTGTGTGTGATCATTGTTAATTAATCTGTGGTGACTCGCTAGAGAATGCAACATTTCTATACACTCAGACACTATTTAAAATGTTGGCTACAACTGGGTTTTGATCCTACTTCATGTTCTGGCTTTGTGGGAGCCTAGCCAGTTTGGATGTCCACCTTCCTAGACCAAGATGGAGCGGGGAGGACTTTGGACTTTCCACAGGGCAGGGAACCCTGACTGCCCCTCAGACTGGAGAGGGAGGGGGAGAGGAGTGGGGGGAAGGGGAGAGGAGAGGGAGGAGGG